GTTGCGTTATGTACATCCATATACCCATTATACCAATAAGCCCATGTGACGAAATTGAGCTTTCGTCAAATTGGTACGCCATCTCCTGGTTGCGGATGGTGTATATCGCCTCTAGTTACAGAGTGCTTGCAAATTGATTAAATAAGAATTTGCGCACGGTCGACAAAGACAGGTTCTATCACAAGAGACCTACGTATGCTTTTTCGAAATATTACAGAGAGCATTCGACACTTCGACACAGAAATTTGTTTAGCTGACCCAATGCGCTTGTACGTGAATATGTGGATCTTTGTATGTTGCTTAATTTGGGAGTGCGTTAGTTATAATTGGCTAAATGACGTTGGTTTAGGTAAAAGACTGAAGATGGAGACAATATGTTTCTCCGAAACGCTGGTATCTACGAACGATTTTATGCGATCAGAACCCAGTATAAAATCATCATTTTATTGGATTATTTAGTTTCCACATGTCACAGACGAATGTAGATCGATGACTGTGTTAATCATTTCCTTGAAACACATGGCGTGGTCACTGAACTATCTTTATCTCTGAAGTACGAGTGTGTTACTATTTGTGTTTGGATCCGACTTCGCCTTGTTCTGAAACGTGTTCGACAAAGGACTGCTCGATTCCAGAGCGACTCCGTTTGAAAAGCAGTCATAGTTCTTAAGTTCTTCTCGACTCCTTCTGGGCGTTATTTTATGCGGGAATCAACCAATCTTTGTACGTACCGGTAGCTTAAGTTTGTTTTGTCTGGCTGCATGTTGTGTTCGTTCAGAAAAGTTAAGTAATAGCTTGGCAAGTTTACTTTAGTTGTTAGTGAAGGTTAGGATGGAGGATCTGTTTTTATTGGTGTTCAGGGAAGATGGTTGATAGCAGTTGGTTGTGCTGTAGTAACGATTGTCACGTGACTCGAGTTAACGTCAGCCATTTTTCGTCACTGGGAAGGCCAAAAACAACCTGGAGGAGAACCATTAAAGAGGAGGCAAAGAAGGAAGGAAAGACCTGGAGGGAGCTGAAAGTTCTGGCTCGTAAAAGAACTCGTTGCTTTGTCGAGGCCCTATGCTCTGGCTAAGAGCGACAGGATATAAATAAATCAATTTTTCGTCACTACTCCTTTACGCGTACACAATTTTGCCTGTAAATATTGTTAAAATGAAGTGTGTGAGGTTAGGTTTGGTTGTTTTGATGAAGCTGCCAGGCTAAAGACGTAGTTGTCATGGCTGGGATTTTTATTTCAAGCGACAGGCGATGAACGGCTGATATGTACACAGTGTTGTCAAGTCTAAATAACTTGTTGATGACGTACTTTGAATTGGGCATACAACAGTCACATTCAAGAGAAAAAACTGACATGACAAGCGACTTTGTAACTCTGTGTCTTTAGGGGCGACAGCCTTCTTGTTTGAATCGTAAGTTAGTTAGGTTAAATGAAGTGACGAACATCGCCAATTAGAGATAATATTAATGTATGTTATGATAATCGCCTTTTAAACCAGTCACAACCTGGGCTATTTGATGTAGAATGTACAAGGAAGTTGGGGTCATTGTATTGTAAATGATTCAGTAAGTTCTTGTAAACAATGTAATCGGATTATCGGGCCTCATCTGTTTCATGTGGGGTTGACTGATTAGGTTGTCGGATGTGGCACATGGTTGAATATTGTATCGCCCTGACGCAAGAAACAAAGGGGGGAGGGGGTCAGAAGTATGCAGGAGGCGTGCATCGAGGCGCGGTGCACAAACAAGGTGAACTGCGGACAAATGCATAGCCTATACCGCACACCCAGAGTCACGATTTTACTCGGCTCGCCCCCGAATGGGAACACCAACACCTAACGTGTCACACTGCACGGTAGGTGGGCCGGTCTCAAACCCAGCACCTCCGTCTTCATCACCTTATTCATAGCCATCATCATCATTATAGATCCCGTCGTTATTACACCAAATTAATTTCGGTGGTACCATCCGTTAGTTATATCAGCATTATGTAAGGTTTGAGGTTTTCACAGCGATGAGTCTGAAGACAGCAATCTTCATATCAACATTATATTGGACATTGTCCGTTGTCTGAAGTATATTTCCAGACACGATGTTCGTGAGTTGGCACTCCTTCAATTTTTAGGTGACTATAATTATACTGACAGAATTTAGTATTAGATGTTTTAATTTAAGTTTAGTTGTGACGTTTGGGGTCGAACTGTATACATTTTGAATATAAACTGCCGTCACTCATCTTAAACTAACTCTTTAAAGACCAATGGTAACTACATGTACCATCAGCTTTAGCAATTAATAACTGCATTTTGTATATATGTGTGTCGTATGATTCTCAGAATAAAAAATAATTATTTTTTCACACAAATCAAATAACGTTGTTATGGAGACGAATTTTATTTTTTTGAGGTACAGTCTGAATTATTAAATATTATTTACACGATCTTCGGTATCAAGGGGTTAAATAATAATTAAACAAATTTATCAATTTAATGACAATCAACTGAACACAGCCAACACAGAACGTGTCGTGTGTATCATGAATGGTGTCCAAGAATACTGGTAGGCCTCTAAGAAACCAGTCATTGTCGCGTACTCCTTAAGCAATCATTCGTTTTACGAAATATTTCTGGGTATTTGTGCGAAAATCGCGAAACCATTTTCATCTCGTCTGGAAAAAGGAAACTAGAAAAAAATAGTGGAAGGTGGTGAACTACTCTACCAGTCTGTTTGTCGCTGTGCTTACTTCGCGAATACATAGCACTAACAGCAGCCGTCTTGACAGCAAGTTTACAATTAAAGTGAGAAATCATGCCGTCACCCCCACCCTCAACTAGATGTAGATCGATATATCGATATCGGCATCTATCTTCTGCAACAAAGTTTCCTCACTAAGATTTATCTTGAACAAATTAAATCGAATGTCTTCTGGGATATTGCGCTATGTACTCTGGCAGAAGTTTGTCATGTTTCAGTGGTACTTGCTGCCTCCATCATCAAGGCAATGATCTTCATCTTTATACTCGTTGCCGTGAGAACCTGATGTCTCACAAATTAATTCAAATCGATTCTTTCTTCTTGCCTTCTTTATGTTTAAAATCGATGCTATCTAACATTTGAGGCTTTAAAACACAATAATATGATTAAACTTGAATCTTCATCACAATAGTTTGACGTTGGAGGTGCCACCAAGGGGTGTCCAATTTTCTTAATTTTTAATTATGATTTTGTCCTCAAAATTACTTTGTATTTACAGGAATTCTCCGCGCACGTATCGTTTGTTCCACACCTCCGCAGACTGTCTTCGTCCTTGATGAAGTTATTTTGGCTGCAGAACCCTTTGTTGTTCGTTCCAAATTTTTTATGGCCAATGTCTCTGAAAAGCACAGTAGTACATAACAGCATTCAATGTATTATCGTTTCAGTTAATATTGTCTACAGTAACTGACAACGGTAACAAATCTATCTAGAATAAATAGAATAAATTGTTAGTTTTCTGCTGACTTCACTATGGTAGAATTTTAGCCTATCGGTGATTAATAATTCCAGACTTTGACAGTATCTCTGATTCTTACCTTGTGACAAGATTCGAAACACTCCCACTGTCTTCTAGTTGCTGCAGATTTCTTGTCCCACCATTTGTTTTTCTGAACAACACGTCCACGCCAAGCTGGGAACAACACTTGTAGCCATTTGTATAATATTACTAGCATCACCACACCATCTGCACTGTATGTGGCCATCACTCCAGGACAGAATGACCAATACACCTTCCCAGATAAGATCATATTCACATCCAGACAATATTGCATTGCAATGGTCAAGTAGAATGTTCATGAACATTTATTTGATGGCATGTTTTGTGTAAGTAAATAAACAAAACTGAATAAAACGGTCAAAATAAATACAAAATGCAGTGAACACAAGCGTCTTTAGAAAGTGGGGGACAGTTTCCCAGTGGCGACGGAGTTTGTGAGCTTGAATACTGACAATTTTCGAGTAAATTATGAATACTGGCTGTAGATTAGTTAAAGATAACCACATCTCTGCGAAGAGTCATGAAAAGGTCATAAGTAAAACGTTTTACAAGGAATTGGTTATTCGTTTCAAAACCGCTTTTTCTGTCCGTCTAATCACATGTAACTACTCGAGAACGGGTATATGGATTTTCATTAAATTTGATATGGTCGTTTTGCGAAAAATCTTCGAGCCACATTAATTTTCGTGAGGATCGGACAATTTTAACGACTACTTCACATAAGAAACCTGTTCTAATATAATGTAGCGTTTTGTGTTATTGAAAGTGTGAACTGAATTTTGTGGTTGTCATGGCAAAACGATACCAATGCCTGTTCTGCTGAAGGCTCTTATTAATCCGGCTCAGCTGTTCATAAGAAGGCATCCAAAGTCAGAATTCGCAAACTGAAAATCTAGATACAATAACAGCTAATGCGCCAGTATAGTTACGCTATGCCTACATTTGCAAACTTGTTTTTCGTTGGTGTTCCATTTATTTCGTTAGGCGCGGTGTGATTATTCCGAATGTTGAATACTGAAGAATAGAGGGGGAATCAGCTGTGGATTACTTTAAATGACCTAATTCTGAATTTGCTTGGAACGAATGTAATGCTGTGGTAAAGAATATCCCTTACCGCTGGCACCAACTGCAGGTTATGTTACAAGATATAGGTCGCGCGAGAAGTGATGTCACCTGCGCAAAGGACTGATTTTGGTCGTATGAGATGGACTCGTCCGAAGCACGCGCTAGAGGGGTGTCAGCTTGTGTTAGTTTGTAGCTCTAGCTGTGTTTAGATAGTTGCGTCACCGCAGCTGAGGCTGTGCAACCCCCAGTACTAATAAACTCCCCTCTCTCGGCTTAAGCCTGCTACACACATAGAGGTAGACCTTTCAGTTATGCCTGAACAGGTATGCTGTTCGGTATACATCATGCTCTAGTGCGTCCGCATGGTACAGTTTTTCTTATCAGTTCAGTTGTATTTCAGGTAGCGCCATGACGTCAACAGACGATGCTTTGGCGATAGTTGGCTGGTTAATAGCTCAAAAAGGTGTCGTAAACGTGTTACGTGGTGTAAAGATTGGTTGAGAAGAAGAGAACAGTATTCGCATGTAAACTTACTACAGGAATTGAAATTTGCGCCGAAAGATTGGCATAATTATTTAAGGATGGACGAAGAAAAGTACTTAAGGCTCCTGTCGTTGGTGACTCCATTAATCAAGAAGAAGGATACTGTAGTGAGAAAAGCTATATCACCACATGAGAGGTTAACTGCTTGTCAAAGATTTCTTGCAACCGGAAGAAGCTACGAAGACCTGGAATTTTCTACAATAATATCACCTCAGGCTCTCAGCTATATTATTCCAGAAACGTGTGATGCTATAAATAAAGTTCTACATAAAGAATACTTAAAGGTAAGGAAATAGAACAATTTTCAGCTTGGTTTAGTAATAAGATGATATAGTTGCGTCATATTGTGAAATTTAATTAATTATTCGGTTTTTGTCCGTCTAATCACAATTCATATATAAATTTACAATTAAGATAATTAAAATATCATTTTATGTTCCTCATCGAACAATCGATTTACAATTGGAACATCTTTTTACAACATGTTTCGGTTTCTATATAAACCATCTACAGGTGTAAAAGTTAAAATTATAAACTTAAAACTTAATTACAATATCTGATATGCAACATTTTGGTGATGTTCACTTCCAGATTCATTTTTGTATTGGAGTGAATGTTTTTTGATGTTCTACATCGGCCTGTAATACAGATGATTTAAAGAAATAGTAATGAATATGAAAGAATATAGGAACAAAATAATATATTGGAACGTAAAATTGAACATACCAAAGATGAGAGTGTAGATACATCTTAATGTGTCTGAAAGCACTAACGTATCTAAACAGATGTGGCTCACTACTGATCGCGGTTGCTTGTAGGGAAGGTAAGTGAAAGGTGGTTGTTGGGGGTGGGGTCAAGCTTCTGAAGGGCATTAAAGATGGGGTTATTAAGGTAAATATTATTATCGTTTAGGCAAATGTTTTGTTTAAATGTTTGCTGTATATGCTATTTTTCTATTGTGTCTCTATGTATTTTATTTTGTACTATTTTTAGAATGTCCATTGTTTCTGTTATTGTGCTGTATGCATGTCCGGTATTCAGAATGTGTTTGGCGTATGCTGAATTTTCTTTATTTTGTTTTATGGCAGTTATATATTCTTTATATCTGTGTGTGAATGTGCGGCCAGTTTGACCTATATATGTTAATGGACATTCTTTACATTTTAATTTGTATATACCTGGTAATTTGTATTTATTATTTATGTCTATTGGTGGTTTTTGTTTAAGGATGTTTTTTATTGTGTTTTTTTGTTTTGAAGGCTACTTTTATTTTGTTTTCTTTGAATAGTTTTGTTATGAATTTGGTTTCTTTTCCTATATATGTAAAAGTGGCCCATTTATTTTGTGTATTTTCATTTTCGTTAGGTTTTGTTGTTTTTTTAGGTTTATTATTTAAAAAATTGTTATTATATCCATTTTCTTTGAGGATTTGTTGTATTATATTTAATTCTATTTGTTTGTTTGTTGTGGATATTGGGTATAGGTTTTTTCTGTTTATTAAGTAGTAATTGATGGACATTCTTTTTTGTTCAAAGGGATGGCAAGATGAAGCATGAATTATGGTACTTGTGGTAGTGGGTTTTCTGTAAATTTTGAATTCAAAGTTTTTAGTTTTTCTTATTATAGTTAAATCTAAGTAGTTTAGTGTATTGTTTTGTTCAATTTCTATTGTAAATTGAATATTTTGATTTATGTTGTTGAATTCATTAAGAACTTGCTGAATATTTGTCTTTTTCCTATTGTAAATTATTAGTATATCATCTACGTATCTGCTATAATATTGGATGTGGTTTTTATTTAATATGTTCATCATGTTTTTGTGTTCTAAATATTGAAGGAATATTTCTGATAATATACTTGAAGTGGGAGCACCCATAGGTAGTCCTGTATTTTGTTGCCAATGTTGATTATTGAATTGAAAATAATTTTGATTAATAATAATGTTTGTTACTATTTTAATTTCGTTTATTATTTGTATATTGATGTTTTGTTTATTTAGTATATTATAGGATATCTTGTAAAATATTTGTGGGGATATTAGTGTACATATTAGTAATATCAAATGAACACATATGTAAGTTTTTATTTAGGTTGAGTTCTTTAAGTTCATTAATTAGATTTATAGAATTTGTTATATTGAAGGTGTTTGGTAAATTGCAGTAGTCTTTTAAGAGACTGGCTATTTTTGATGAGATTTGGTATGCTGGAGCTGATGTCCAGTTTATTAATGGTCTGATGGAATAGGGATTTTTGTGTAATTTAAGGAGTCCTGTAATTGTAGGTGAAGTTGCGCTATAGTTATAGTATTGGGGTTTTGGTGGATTAAAAATGTTTTTACATTTTTGGGTTATTTTTTGGATTTCTTTTTAATATTTTGAAGTAGGATTCTGTATTAAATTTGTAAATGAATTTTTGTTAATAAATTGCGAAATGTATTGTTGGTATTGTTCTATAGAGAGTATAATAATAGTTTTACCTTTGTCTGCTTGTGTGATTGTTAGTTCGTTTTGTTGTAATTTTTGTTTTATACTTTTTATTGTTTTCCATTCGTTTGTGTGTACTTTATTGTATTGTGTATTGGATTTGTTTTGTTTTATTAAGTGTTCAATGTTATTTGCTATTAAGTGACGTATGTGATCTTGTTTATGTATAGGTATTAGGTTTACAGCGGTTTCGGCTTCTAATGCCAGGTTTTCGATCCATGTTTTTTGTTTGTGTTGTAGGTTGTATTTTAATCATTTGCTCAGTAAAGTGTATTCATGTTGTGTAAATTGGGTATTTGTAAGATTTTTAATTATGTTTATGTAATCTTGTTACAGATGCAGTTTTACAAATTTACACAAAAAATTGAAAGTTAGCAAAAGAGTGGTTTACAAATTAAACACTAATGTTGCTGACGTATGATGCTACAGAAGTGTTGGGACTTATCATTTGTGGCGTTACATGCATGGGAATAGTACGCGCATTAAAATCCCAGCAAGAAAGAGATTGAAATGTGTTGAATGTTGCCGAAGTCATCCCTTGGGCAAATAGTCTATGATCCTTGGTTAAAGTACCCATCTCAGTTTCAAACAATGCTTCGTTAATAAGTTTTTCAGCTATAATTCTTTGCTGTTGTGGCAAATCGCGTAGCTTCATTGCTACGTTCTTACCAAAAACGTCGAAGTGATCATCAGTACTTTGCTGACGCTTAAAGTGGTCTTTAACTGACATCAAAACTTCGTTAGCTAAAGCCGAATCCATTGATTCCAATTTTATTTTTGATGGCCTTGAACGCGAACATTGGGGGGTCATAACAGCTGGTTCTAACAAATCTTCGTATCTTGGAGACTCTATAGGCGATGTGGGTGCAAATAATGAATCACCTTCACCAGATTCCATCGTTGCTCCTGAAAAATGACAACAGATTTTATATATTTATATATATATATATATAGGAACAGATAATAACCCTCATGCCATCCCAATCACCAACTATTGAATCTGTCGATGTGAATCTCCTATAATTCATAGAAACAATGCGAGTGCTATCTAAATTTCTAGTGTTATTTCTATTTCTAACCATGTATCTTTTGAAAAAATAGCCGCATGTTTTAAAATATATAACTTTATCGTATTCCTATAGATTCATATCTCTCTCAACATAAATCTTTTTGTATTTCAGTTTCCACGAACAGAAGACGATTGGAGGGACATAGCCAAAATCTTCGAAGAAAGGTGGAACTTTCCACATTGTCTCAGTGTCATCGACGGGAAACATTATTCCCCCAAGTGGAAATGGGTCATATTATTATAATTACAAAGGACGACACAGCATGGTTTTACTTGCAATAGTGGATGCAAAATATCAGTTCATCATGTGCGATTTCCGTGTACACGGAAGAGTTTCCGACGGAGGTGTTCTTCAAAATACGACATTTTTCGAGAGACTTGAAAAATAAACATTCCACCTGAAGAGAGAATCAGAAACACTTCTACAATTCTGCCCTGCGTATTTGTCGCCGATGACGTGTTTTCTTTGAGAATAAATATGGTGAAACCGTATCGACAGGCAAACCTGGATTCTAAAGATAAAAAGGTAGATAATTATCGCGTTTCCCGTGCGAGACGTTTTGCTGAAAACGCGTTTGGTATCGTGTCATCCAGGTTCAGAATATTTCACACACAAATTAACTTAGACCCAATACACATTGATTCGGTAGTAATGACGAATTGTGTAATGAACAATTTTTTTTAATGGCATTGACGCCAAGATCATACGCGACTCCAGACTGTTTTGACAGTGAAAATGCAGATGATGGGATTACTATATCATACTTGAATACTGAAGATTCGAATATTGAACGATTGGACCCAAGAAACCCAGGAAATACCACAACTACTGCCAAGAGAATTAGAGAACGTTTTACTAATTATTTTATGAATGAAGGAAAAGTTTCATGGCAAGATAAATTTATACATTAATTTCTTGTAACTGTTGTCTAAATAAAATCTGTTGTAATACAATATATGAATAAATATAAAATTGCATACTTTACTTACCTGCGATTCATCGTCGCTGTCCAAATTGGAGTGAGAGGTCCTTGGCGTTTCTTGATCACTCAAAAAATCGAGGAGCTTAAAATACAACAATTTGGGCACGTAAACATAATCGGTTCCTGATCCTGATTTGGTTGAAGATTTGCTTCTGACGTTGATTTTTTAAAACACTTTTAATGTTGACAGCGGGATCGATTTCTTTAAGCTTTTCAACCAACTTTAAATAAGCTTCTTCTCTTTTGGCTCTGTCATGGTAGTCTTTTGACTTCACTTGCCAGAGAAAATGATCACTTTTGTACATTTCAATAAACTCATCTAAGCACTCACGATGGCTTTTCCGACACTCGGCGGTCATTATTCTACTGTCAGACTTGTTCTACGAAACATGTAAAGGAACTGAGCTCGTGGCCGGTATACCGGAGCAAGTCAATACACGCTCAGATATACCTGCGCAGTTCGTTCAGGCGCAGATATAACGATTGAAATGAACTATTTGTTCCGATCGCCTGCACAGGCAGAAATAACTGAACAGTTTTATCATCTACACGTTGAGGTATACCTGAGAGGCGCGTCTGTTCAGGCATACCTGACAGGTATACCTGTACGTGTGTAGCCGGCTTTACACATCGCGCATTTAGGTGCCACGACTGCTCGCGCTACCTCTACTAGCGGGAGAACGAACACAGTACTGCTTCTGTCCTAAAGAAACTGTACGTGCGGTGGAGGGTCAGGGTTTGAATCAGAATCAACTCGTGGTCGTCGATGGTAGCGCTATCACCATTACAGGGTCAAATTTCGAGAGATAAACCGTACTGGCGCGCATATTACAAAGGAAGGAATTTGAAGTATTCTGCCTGACCCAGTCTACTCTGTGCTTTCAGATATTGAGCTCGAAGGAAAGTTTAAAATTATTCTTACAGTGTAGGATAATGAAGGATTGGCAATGTCACTTAGGTCCACGTATTCACACTATATTACACATATTTAGGTTTTATTTGAATGCTGCACCGCTATCTCGCGGTTTTCTGCGTACATCCAAAAGACTG